TAACAAGAAATCGAGAGAAATAGTCATTTGTTTACAATATATAAAACGCCTAGCTTGTGTTACTTTTTCGTACGCCTCGCTCGCCGCGCCTGTCAATCAAATTAATGTTTTCGTCATCGTGACGTCACCTAATAACATCGTGACAATTTTCTTTCCCAACGTAAATTTTTCCCGCGGTTCTTCTGTATAAAACCCATTTTTTGCCATATCTGGAGTGTGTCTAGTTTTTGCTATTTTTATTGGATCTCCCGCCGCAATACTGGAACACAATTCAACAATTTTGAAATAATATCCTTCTCTAATAGCTACTCCACAGTTGCAACAGGTATTGAGCCTTGTTTGTACCTGCAACAAAAAGAGTGGTTATAATTTTGGAAAAGTGTTCACATGAATGCATGAGTTCTAACTGACATATTGAGTAATTAAGAACATACCCAGAGTCAGGAGGGGTCCATAAATATGCCTGTTTGATAGAGCTCACAATTTGAAACATTTTGGTGTTTATTTAAAGAAACGTACCATTAACGAAATCACATGCTAAAAAACTGATTAAATATTACAAATGTTTTTTATAAATAAAACATTAAACTCCATGGCAAAAGTTGTATGTTTTCGGATGCGAACGTTTATACTGGATGTGAAACTTTCTATGAATCAAATAAAATCTAAACTTCGCTTATAACGCGGACGTTACCGAAACCCGCGAAATATCCCCAAAACGATTTAAGAACTATTTAAAAACTGTCCACAGATAGGTAAAGTTTACCTCGGTCCCGGAGTTTCTGTTGCGATAGAGACGGAATGTTCCTTGCTGATAAGGATTGTAATATCTAAATAATAGGTTTAAAACAATGCGAGTGAGATTCCAGTTTCAGCGGAAAGGTGTGATATGATATGATATTGATACTGTCTGGTTTTCAACTTAAACAGCTAGCCTCGCATGCATGTAATCGCGGATAATTCGGTAATAATAACAATGACCAAATCATGATTATTTAAAATATAAAAATTTCATACGTCTAAATGGTATATGCATGACCAACATATAGCTTCTTTGTATGTTTGCATGGCGAAAAATATAATAGTTTTGTTTGTGGAAACACCACGTAAATAAAAAAATACAATAAATTGTATTAAAATACAATTGTTGCAGTAATAAATTTACGTGATGTTTCCACAAACAAAACTATTAAACATATATAGCTACTTTTTTATTTTTCGAATAATCTGCAGTGTAAAAATAATATATATTTACTGGCCGTCAAATGTTACAATATTTGGATCCGTTGTAGATTGACAAATCTTTGAGTTCCTCGAGCTTAGTGAGATCTAAAAATGAAAGAACTGGCTGCCATGAAAAAGGAAGGGATGAATTCTTCAAATTGGATGCGAGGTACGCAACATTAACGCGTATAAAATTAGCGCACCTTACCCCTTCCAAATTCACACCTTTGCTTTTTTACATAGCTTGAGGACGTTTAATTTATTTTTGCGGAATAAGTGATTACCAGCCATTTGGAAAATGACTATATATATAGGCTAGTATTCGCCTTTTTACTGTAAAAGTTAAGTTTTTAACGGTTTTTGTAACAACCAGTGAAAATTTTACTCTAATTTAATGTAATTCGAAATAAATATTCAATACAAAGATCAAAACAATTTTACCTGCATGTGCAACTTTGAAGATTTGAAATTTTGATCCTGACCAGAAACATTATTTTAATCGCTGATAATATTTTTACGCAGATCTTATATACCGTACTCTGTAGGCTGGTGAAGGTTGGAAAGAATGTAGAATAGATTATTAAATACCTTAATAGGTAGAAACTTGTAACTCATCCAAAAAGGATTATTGTTGGGACCGAGTAGTGACTGAAATTTGACTTCCATATTACTACGCGTTGTTCCAAGTCGCTTTATTGTCTCGCATACTGCTGTCATTTTGATCCATAATGGTCGATGAGATACATGCTTTTCGGTCAGTTCGGTTAAACATTTTAAATTTGAAGGTATCTTTTTCCCTCGTATACATATTTTCCCCCCTACATTTTCTTCACCGTTGCATCCGACCTCAAATCTGAAGGATTTTTTCCGGATAGGTAAACTAGGTCTCAGGCTCACAGACACTTCTTTATTACCCGCACAATCGTCGAGATAGACTGTCCTTGGATGCACCTGTTAAAGAGACATAAACGTAATCCGTATATCGTTTTAATGTTCCTTAAATGGCCTTGCAACGGGAATCAGTTATTGGCATATTATGTCGCCCTTGGGAAACAGGTTTATATAAATAATAAAACTTGCGTTGGTAAAAATGCAACTACATGAAAAATACAAAGAGAAGTTTGACATTTCGAGCGATGACCGTTCGTCATTTAACAAATATAAAACATTTTCCGTGTTGATATACAGTTATATCAACACGAGTGGAATTGGGAAAACGAGAAATTGTTTGGAAACACGACG